TATTTTACATGTAAAATTTAACTATTTAAGTTTATATTATAAGTGATATAATTTAGTTTTAAATAACATCAATAAATACTCATGTTATACATTTGTATTGTAATAAAAAACATTAATATTCCCTATCGCCCTCCACTCTTATTTCCTTTGAGTATTCTAAGTGCAAAATGACTCTCGACTCTCGAGAGTGGCCCAGTCTAATTAAAATGTCTAGTTCCGCCTATGATTGGAATTACAATTTTATAATATGCCCTATGCCTATATTCCGCCATAATATTAAATTATTATTGAATGTCCAATTATAAATATAATTGAGTTAATAGCTTAAGTATAATCACGATTCACTGCTCTCGTGCTGTTTCTACATAATAGTTATATGATTATGTTGTCATACACTACTAGTTATTTAAATGAAATTTCATCACTATTCACTCTAGTCTGTGTTTTGATTATTGGTTGTGTGAATTTTGGTTTTGGAAAAAAWAACAGAAAAAAATTCAATTTTTTAGTCTTGAATTTATATAATGTTAATAATATGTTGTCCTTTTTGCTTGTTAGATAATTGGAACCATACCAGTAAAATCCAAAAAAATTAAATTAGAGTTTATATATATTTAGAATGAAAAATAATTTTTACAGTAGACACTACACACAAATGATGTAGATTTAAAAAATAAATAAAATAAAAAGATTCAGACTAGGCTTTTGTGAATTGTGACCATCCATTGATGGATCTTCATAGTAATTATTTTGTTGCCGTTTTTTGTTAGTTCACTCTTAATTTTAATAGTTTCACAGAATTGATATTTATATTTAAGATTGCTGACAAAGTGATATCCTTTTCTTTGTAATTTTCATTTCATAATTTGATGAATTTTAGGTTTAATGGATTATCGGATTATCCATACAATTTGTAAATAATTGTAGTAATTAAAAACACTGTATTATTATTAATACTGTACTTTTGAGAACACGAAAATGCAAAAGAAGAATATAATATTTTTATGATGTTTATGTAAAGAA